TGGTGAACAAGATCCTACATGAAAAAACATGTTGTTTGGTGGGGTACCACTCTAGAACTTGGACATGCAAAAACGCTCGAGATGCCATAACTTCCCACACACCTGGGTTTTGCATCCGAGCACAGGCCAGCATGCTCTTGAGCCCATACACTAACCATGCATGCAAAAAGCAAGATGTTTGAGCATGCTCAATAGCAAGATAACCAAGTTGAGGTCTCGTAGGAAAATGCTCAAGTACTGGAAAAAGGAACACATACAATTCCATATTTTTTTGCATAAAAAGAAGCGAATCTAAGCGAAGCTAAGCGAAGCAAAGCCAATCTAGGCGAAGCTAAGCGAAGCAAAGCGAAGCTAAGCGAAGAGAAGCAAAGAGAAGCGTAGCGAAGAGAAGCAAAGCTAAGAGAAGCAAAACGAAGCAAAGCGCAGTTATGCGAAGGGAAGCGAAGGAAAGCGAAGCGAAGTGAAGGTATGGGAAGCGAACCGATGTTAAGGGAAGCGAAGCTAAGCGAAGCGAAGCTAAGCGAAGCGAAGCGAAGCTAAGCGAAACGAAGCGAAGCTAAGCGAAGCAAAGCCAAGCTAAGCGAAGCGAAGCAAAGCCAAGCGAATCTAAGCGAAGTTAAGCAAAGCAAAGCGAAGCGAAGCGAAGCTAAGCGAAGCCAAGCAAAGCTAAGCGAAGCTAAGCGAAGAGAAGCGAAGCAAAGCCAAGCGAAGCTAAACGAGCTAAGCGAAGCAAAGCGAAGCTAAGCGAAGCGAAGCGAAGCGAAGCAAAGCAAAGCGAAGCTACGCGAAGCAACGCAAAGTTAAGCGAAGCTAAGCATGGCGAAGCTAAGCAAAGCGAATCAAAGAGAAGCGAAGAGAGGCAAAGCGAAGCTTAGCGAAGCGTAGCTAAGCGAAGCTAAGAGAAGCGAAGCGAAGCAAAGAGAAGCGAAGAGAGGCAAAGCGAAGCTAAGCGAAGCGAAGCTAAGTGAAGCTAAGAGAAGCAAAGAGAAGCGTAGCGAATAGAAGCGAAGCTAAGAGAAGCAAAACGAAGCTAAGCGCAGCTATGCGAAGCGAAGAGAAGCTAAGCAAAGCTAAGTGAAGCGAAGTGAAGCTAAGGGAAGCAAACCGAAGCTAAGGGAAGCGAAGCGAAGCTAAGCAAAGCGAAGCTAAGCGAAGCGAAGCGAAGCAAAGCCAAGAGAAGCTAATTGAAGTTAAGCGAAGCGAAGCGAAGCTAAGCGGAGCGAAGCGAAGCTAAGCAAAGCGAAGCTAAGCGAAGAAAAGCGAAGTTATGCAAAGCTAAGCGAAGCTAAGCGAAGCGAAGCGAAGCTAAGCGATGCTAAGCAAAGCGAAGCGAAGAGAAGCGAAGAGAGGCAAAGCGAAGCTAAGCGAAGCGTAGCTAAGCGAAGCTAAGAGAAGCAAAGCGAAGCGAAGCTAAGCAAAGCGAAGCGAAGGAAAGTGAAACGAAGCAAAGCTTAGCAAAGCGAAGCGAAGCAAAGCTAAGCGAAGCTAGGCGAAGCTAAGCAAAGCGAAGCGAAGCTAAGAGAAGCTAAGCGAAGCTAAGCGAGGCAAAGCGAAGCGGAGAAAAGTGAAGCGAAGCTAAGCGAAGCGAAGCGAAGAGAAGCAAAGCGAAGCTATGCGAAGTGAAGCGAAGCTAAGCGAAGCTATTAGAAGGGAAGCGAAGAGAAGCGAAGCAAAGAGAAGCGAAGCGAAGCGAAGCAAAGCGAAGCTATGTGAAGCGAAGCGAAGCTAAGCGAAGCAAAGCAAAGCTAAGCAAAGCTAAAAGAAGCTTAGCGAAGCGAAGCAAAGCTAAGCGAAGCTAAGCGAAGCGAAGCGAAGCGAAGCGAAGCTAAGCGAAGCGAAGAGAAGCATAGAGAAGCGAAGCAAAAAGAAGCGAAGCTAAGAGAAGCAAAGCGAAGCTAAGCGCACGTATGCGAAGCGAAGCGAAGCTAAGCGATGCAAACCAAAGCTAAGGGAAGCGAAGCGAAGCTAAGCGAAACGAAGCGAAGCGAAGCGAATCTAAGCTATGCAAAGTGAAGCTAAGCGAAGCTAAGCGAAGCGAAGCCAAGCTAAGCAAAGGGAAGCGAATCTAAGCAAAGCTAAGCGAAGCGAAGCAAAGCCAAGCGAAGCTAAGTGAAGAGAAGTGAAGCGAAGCGAAGGGAAGCTAAGCGAAGCTAAGCAAAGTGAAGCTAAGCGAAGAAAAGCAAGGCTAAGGGAAGCTAAGCAAGGCGAAGCTAAGCGAAGCGAAGGGAAGCTAAGCGAAGCTAAGCGAATCTGGGCAAAGCTAAGCGAAGCAAAGCGAAGCGAAGCGAAGAGAAGCAAACAGAAGCGTAGCGAAGAGAAGCAAAGCTAAGAGAAGCAAAACGAAGCAAAGCGCAGATATGCGAAGCGAAGGGAAGCTAAGCGAAGCTATGGGAAGCGAACCGAAGCTAAGCGAAGCTAAGCGAAGCTAAGCGAAGCGAAGCAAAGCTAAGCGAAGCTAAGCGAAGCTAAGCGAAGCGAAACAAAGCTAAGCGAAGCGAAGCAAAGCTAAGCGAAGCGAAGCAAAGCCAAGCGAATCTAAGCGAAGTTAAGCGAAGCAAAGCGAAGCGAAGGGAAGCAATGCGAAGGGAAGCGAAGCTAAGCGAAGCCAAGCAAAGCTAAGCGAAGCTAAGCGAAGAGAAGCGAAGCAAAGTCAGGCGAAGCTAAGCAAAGCGAAGCGAAGCTAAGCAAAGCAAAGCTACGCGAAGCAAAGCGAAGTTAAGCGAAGCTAAGCGTAGCGAAGCTAAGCAAAGCGAATCGAAGCTAAGCAAAGCGAAGGGAAGAGCAACGAAGAGAGGCAAAGCGAAGCTAAGCGAAGCGTAGCTAAGCGAAGCTAAGAGAAGCAAAGTGAAGCGAAGCAAAGAGAAGCGAAGAGAGGCAAAGCGAAGCTAAGCGAAGCAAAGAGAAGCATAGAGAAGCGAAGCAAAAAGAAGCGAAGCTCAGAGAAGTGCAGGTATGCGAAGCGAAGCGAAGCTAAGCGAAGCGAAGCGAAGCGAAGCGAAGCTAAGGGAAGCGAACCGAAGCTAAGGGAAGCGAAGCGAAGCTAAGCTAAGCGAAGTGAAGCTTGGCGAAGCTAAGCGAAGCTGAGCGAATCAAAGTGAAGCTAAGGGAAGCGAACTGAAGCTAAGGGAAGCGAAGCGAAGCTAAGCTAAGCGCAGCTATGCGAAGCGAGGCAAGGCTAAGCGAAGCGAACGGAATCTAAGGAAAGCGAAGCTAAGCGAAGCTAAGCGAATCTAAGCGAAGCGAAGCGAAGCGAAGCTAAGGGAAGCGAAGCAAAGCGAAGCTAAGTGAAGCGAAGCGAAGCTAAGCGAAGCTAAGGGAAGAGAAGTGAAGAGAAGCGAAGAGAAGTGAAGAGAAGCGAAGCGAAGCAAAGCTAAGCGAAGCAAAGCTAAGGGAAGCTAAGGGAAGCAAAGCGAAGCGAAGCGAATCTAAGGGAAGCTAAGGGAAGCGAAGCGAAGCGAAGCTAAGCGAAGCAAAGCTAAGGGAAGCGAAGCGAAGCGAAGCTAAGTGAAGCTAAGGGAAGAGAAGTAAAGGGAAGCGAAAAGAAGCGAAGAGAAGCGAAGCGAACAAAGCTAAAGGAAGCGAAGCTAAGGGAAGCTAAGGGAAGCGAAGCGAAGCGAAGCAAAGCTAAGGGAAGCTAAGGGAAGCGAAGCTAAGCGAAGCTAATGGAAGAGAAGTGAAGAGAAGCGAAGCGAAGCAAAGCTAAGCGAAGCAAAGCGAAGCGAGGCTAAGCGAATCAAGGCAAATAGAAACGAAGAGAAGCGAAGCGAAGCTAAGAGAAGCGAAGCGAAGCTAAGCAAAGCGAAGCGAAGCTACGCAAAGCAAAGCAAAGCTAAGCGAAGATAAGCGAAGCGAATCTAAGCAAAGCTATGTGAACTGAAGCGAAGCAAAGCGAAGCTAAGCGAAGCGAATCGAAGCTAAGCGAAGCGAATCGAAGCTAAGTGAAGCTAAGCGAAGCTAAGCGAAGCGAAGCGAAGCGAACGGAAGCCAACCGAAGCTAAGGGAAGCGAAGCTAAGCGAAGAGAAGCTAAGTGAAGCTAAGTGAAGCTAAGCGAAGCGAAGAGAAGCATAGGGAAGCGAAGCAAAGCTAAGAGAATCAAAGCGAAGCTAAGTGCAGGTATGCGAAACGAAGCTAAGCGAAGCTACTGGAAGCGAACCGAAGCTAAGGGAAGCTAAGCAAAGCTAAGCGAAGCTAAGCGAAGCGAAGCGAAGCGAAGCAAAGCAAAGTGAAACGAAGCAAAACTAAGCAAAGCGAAGCGAAGCAAAGCTAAGCGAAGCTAAGAGAAGCTAAGCGAAGCTAAGAGAAGCTAAGCAAAGCTAAGCGAAGCTATGCGAAGTGAAGCGAAGCTACGTGAAGCAAAGCAAAGCTAAGCGAAGATAAGCGAAGCGAATCTAAGCAAAGCTATGCAAAGCGAAGCGAAGCTAAGCAAAGCGAAGCGAAGCTAAGCGAAGCGAAGCGAAGCGAAGCGAAGCGAAGCGAAGCTAAGCGAGCGAAGCTAAGCGAAGCAAAGCGAAGCGAATCGAAGCTAAGCGAAGCTAAGCGAAGCGAAGCGAAAAGAAGCGAAGAGAAGCAAAGCGAAGCTATGCAAAGTGAAGCGAAGCTAAGCGAAGCTATTAGAAGCGAAGCGAAGAGAAGCGAAGCGAAGCAAAGCGAAGCTATGTGAAGCGAAGCGAAGCTAAGCGAAGCAAAGCAAAGCTAAGCGAAGCGGAGCAAAGCTAAGAGAAGCTTAGCGAAGCGAAGCGAAGCGAAGCTAAGCGAAGCGAAGCAAAGCTAAGCGAAGCTAAGCGAAGCGAAGCGAAGCGAAGCGAAGCTAAGCGAAGCAAAGAGAAGCATAGAGAAGTGCTTCGCTTCTCTTCACTTCGCTTACCTTTGCTTCACTTCGCTTCTCTTAGCTTCGCTTAGCTTCGCTTTGCCTCTAATCGCTTCTCTTTGCTTCGCTTTGCTTAGTTTCGCTTTACTTTGCTTTGCTTCGCTTAGCTTTGCTTCGCTTGTTGTGTGATGTCATCATATGCTATCACATTCTGTCTGCCTCCCATCCCATGTTTTCAACTTGCATGTGTGGTTTGAATGTGCAAGCATTTGTGTGGTGTGTTCTGGAGTTTGGGAATGTGTTCTGTGTTATTTTTGTTTGAGCAGGTATTTGTGATGATAGATCTTGAGAAGATCTTTCCGACGCAACGAGAATCCCTTCAATCGGAGCAAGAATGCGAAAGCTATGAAGATTCAAAGTTCATGAGCTTGCGTTACAATTGCGGCGGTTACTAAGTGAAGTTGTGGGGTGAATTTATATGGAGTTGGGACCTTTGGGGTTTGGGAAATTTGTCACTCTACTGTAACAGCTGCAAATTGGTTGGGAACAACCAAGCTAGGTTGGCAAGGGTGGCCAACTTGGATGGATTGGTTGGGAAGGGACAAAGGTCAAAGTTGAGGTTCCTATAGGGAGGGAATCTTTGTGCTTATGGGGTTTCCTTGGTTGGGGACTCTCTTGGGACCTTCCCTCTCATCCCTCTCTTCCTATCCCAACCTTTCTCTTGCTCCTTCTAATTCCTTGTGAGATTCTTGAACTTTGATTGAACTCTTGAGATTGAGTTAAGTTCTCCTCCTACAGCTTACCCCCTAGTGCGTCGAAAGCCATAGCGTCGCGAATACTTCATCAATCAACGTGATTCAAATTGGGAACGGTAGCTGAGATCAAGAGCTACAACATATCCAAGTTTCGCGACATTCCAACGGCTAGTGTTTTGTCGACGTCGTTTCTTGTGAAGACGACTTTTCTGTCCAGAATTTCGGATTTATATTTTGAGTAATTCTAGCTCCTAAGTTCACCTAGACTCTGTCCTTAATCCTAACAAGTGGTATCAGAGCCATATTAAGGACATTGAGAGGAGTCTACAGAAGTGTGAAGACCCTTCTAGACCCACCATGGCCTGTGGGTGTGCCTAAGTGGTGTTCTAAAGGTTGGATGTGTCTTCCGCTAAGGGGAAACTCTGCCGAAATTTCGTGGACGCCGACACTTGTGAAAATATCGAGGGAGCTGAGTGTGGACAGCAAAGGGGAGCTGAAATTCGTCATTTCTCAAGGAGAAGATGAATGAGAGAGGAGGAGATGCTAATGGAAGAGGAGCTGTAGCTGAGAAGACAAGTGAGCCGCCGCCATCAAAAGTTGAAGCTTTGGATGGCTCCAACTATGAGGAATGGAGCGGGCGGATGAGGAGTGCCTTCAAACGCTACAAGCTACTGAAGATTGCTGTTGGGGAGGAGAAGATGCCGGAAGAAGGCGAAGCACGTGAACGGTGGATTGAGAAAAGCGCGGTGCTTTTCGACCTCATCCTTCAATCGGTCAACAAGGAGATGTTCGAGCACATCAAGGATCTTGTGGAAGCGGATGATTCGGGTCCAAGGGCGTGGAAACTACTACGTGATGTGATTCAGCCCAACACTCTCCCAATGGTGATCGTGCTCGAGAAGGAACTTGCTGCCATCTCCATGCGACCAGGGGATGATGTGAAGCCGGTCCTTGACAAGATCAAGGACACCTATGCAACGATGGCAGCAGCGGGCAGCAGTGTATCTCAGCTGCAGCAGTGCACCAAGATCATCTCGGTGTTGGACAACTCTTGGGACAACCTCATCCCCACCCTCAACTCTCAGCAAGATCAATGGACACCTGAGTGGCTAAGGCAGCAGATTCTGCAGGAGGACTTCCGCAGACGCCATGTGGGAGGCGGTGCTGCCACTAAGACTGCTGAGGGGTATGGAGCTGCAGGCGCGGCAGAGGAAGAGGGGGTTGGAGAGGCCGAGGCCGTGGGAGGAGCTTTGGCAGAGGTAGAGGCCGAGGTGACTATAATGAGGGGCATGGGAGCTCCAGTGGCAGGGGGAGTACCAGAATGGAGGGCACCTGCTGGTACTGCAAGAAGGTCGGGCATCCTTGGTTCAAGTGCTTCAGCAGGCCGGAGGGATGGGCACCTCCAGGCATGAAGCCGCCCAGTGGTGAACGCGCACAAGGTGGCGCTGTGCAAGGCTCAGGTGCACAAGGTGAAGGTGCACAAGGTAATGCCTATCCTGGTTTGTTTCTTATGGTTGAGGATGTGCATGGGCATGAGGGTGATGTGGGATCTGTGGGAAAGGTTGTGATGCACCCTCTCACGCACTGGGTGATTGATTCGGGTTGCACCAGTCACATGACCCCACGGGCAGATTTGCTTGATGAGGTAAAACCCCCTGGGAAGATCAAGTATGTGGCAGCAGCGTCAGGTGCTTTGCTCCCTGTGATTGGTGTTGGAAATGCCAAGGTTAAGGGAGCTAATGGGGAGCTTGTGGGGCTTGGGAATGTTCTGCTGGTTGAAGGCTTGTCTGCTAACCTTCTCTCTGTGCGACGACTGCAGAAGAGCAAGGCCGAAGTGACCTTTGGACCAACCAGCTGCCGTGCTAAGCTTGGGAAGAAGGTGCTGTGGAGTCTGGAAGAGGAGACCAGCTGCATCAAGGACCTGTGGCAGCTGCCCATCATCCCATGGAATGGGAAGACTCCAACAGCAGCAACGGCAGCAGTGGCAAAGGCAACAGCAGGAGGAGATGCAACTGCACCAACTGATGGGGTCCTGGAAGCAGTCAAGAAAGTGCAGCAGCAGCAGACACATGGTGAGGTGCTTGCTGGTGTGGATGCGAGTGCGGCATGGGCTAAGGCTTCATCAAGGAGTGGAGAGGCCGATTGGGAGACATGGCATGAGAGGCTGTGTCATGTGAACTTCCCTATGCTGCAGAAGTTGGTGAAGGATGGGAGCCTGAAGGGCTTGGAGGTGAAAGGGGGAGTGAAGGAGATTGGGAGCTGCCCTACATGCTTGGAGACCAAGTTCTCCAAGTTCCCCTTCAACAGTGCAACAGGACCAGCCAAGACCCCACTTGCACTTGTGCACATGGATGTGGTGGGGCCCACAAGAGCCCCTTCCCTCTCAGGCAGCCGCTATTTCTTGACAATTGTGGATGACCACACTCGGGCAGTGTGGGTTTACCCTTTGAACAGCAAGGGGGAGGTGGCAGCGGCTGTCCTTAAGGAGTGGATGCCTAGAGCTCAGAGGGAATGCGGACACAAGGTGAAGGTGATCCGCAGTGACAATGGTGGGGAGTTCATTGGAGCTGATTTTGAGGGGGAGTTGAAGAGGAAGGGGATCCAGCATCAACTGACAGTGCCCTACAATCCGCAGCAGAATGGCGTGGCTGAGAGGTTCAACAGGACCCTGCAGGAGGGGGCACGCACTCTCCTTGGGCGTGCAGGGCTACCTGATCCGTTTTGGGTGTCTGCACTGAGGCAGGTCGCCCTTGTGAAGAACAGGGTGCTGGCTACAGTTGGAGATAAGGAGTGGATCCCATATATCAAGTGGTATGGGAGTGCTCCAGCTGTGAACATGCTGAGGGCATTTGGGTGCATGGTAGTGTTTCATGTGCCTAAGGAGAAAAGAGGGAAGTTGGAGGCTTCTGGAAGATGGGGTGTGCACTTGGGGATTGCAAAGGATCACAAGGGATGGCTGCTATGGGACTTGACCACCCAGAAGCTGACAGTGTCAAGGGATGTGAAGTTTCTTGAGTCCCTGTACTACAAGGAATGGAAGCAGCAGCAACAGAAGCTTCCATCTACACCGCTCATTGTGGAGGCAGATGAGGTGCAGCAGCCTTCAAGACAGGTGGAGGTTGCAGTGTCAGAGGAGGAGATGTCTGGGGTGACTGAGGAAGGGGGAGCAGCTGAAGTAGAGCAGCAGCAGCAGCAGCATGAGTCTCCACCTCGAGTTCCACACCCGCCTGAGCGTCCTAGGAGGGATGTGCGCCCTCCAGTGAGGCTGACCTATGGGGGAAGAGGCAAGCCGAATGTGGTGCAGGCTGGGAGTGTGGTTGAGCAGATTGAGGAAGATGAGATCGCTCACTGCTACTGGGCACCAATCCCTGAGCCCAAGACTCGAGAAGAGGCCTTGAATGGACCAAATGGGGAGAAGTGGAAGGCGAGTGAGGATGAGGAGTTCGGGTCCCTGATTGAGAACGAGACATGGGACCTGTGTGACTTGCCTCCTGGAAAGAAGGCAATCACTTCCAAGATGATCTACAGGCACAAGTATGGACCTGAAGGGGAGCTGACCCGCTACAAGTCTAGGCTTGTGGCACGGGGGTTTCAGCAGACAAAGGGGAAGGACTATGATGAGGTGTTTGCTCCTGTGGGGAAAGGAACAACATTGAGGGTGCTGTTGGCGATAGCTGCACTCCTGGGATGGAAGATTCGGCAGATGGACATTGTGACTGCCTTTCTGAATGGGATCATTCTGGAGGAGGTGTACATGAAGCAGCCAGAGGGGCTGGATGATGGGAGCGGCAGGGTCTGCAGGCTGAAGAAGGCCATCTATGGCCTTAAGCAGGCGCCTCGTGCATGGTATCACAAGTTGGAGGAGGCGCTGCTGGCTGGGGGTTTCAAGAAGAGTGAGTGTGACCCCAGCCTGTTCCTGCTGCAGGAGAAGGACGAAATCCTCATGCTCTTGGTGTATGTGGATGATATCCTTCTCTTTTCTGCATCAACTGCTTTGCTGGACAGCGCAGAGCAGATGCTGGAGATGCAGTTCAAGTGCTCCAAGATGGGTGAGGTGAAGTACTACCTGGGGATGCATGTGGAGAGAGATGTGGAGAAGGGTGTGCTGAGGTTGCACCAGAGGAAGTACTGTGAGGGGCTGGCTGAAAAGTATGGGCTGCAAGATGGGGGAAAGCCAGCAACACCACTACCTTCAGGGTTTACTGTGGAGCCATGTGCTGATGAGGAGGTAGTGGGTGAGAGTGACAGAAAGCTGTTTCATTCGATGGTTGGGTCGCTGAATTATGCTGCAAATCATACACGGCCTGACATTGCATTTTCTACATCACGGTTGGCTAGTGTGGTCTCACGCCCTAGTCATGAGCAGCTGGAAGCGGCCAAGAGGTTGGTCCGCTATGTGAGTGCTACGGCATCAGTGGGATTGGAGTACAGTGGAGTGAGGCAGCGGTTGCAGAGAGGTGCTGCAGATGTGAAGAGTGGTGAGATGCTCTTGAGTTGCTATACTGACGCTAGCTTCAACTCAGTGAAAGCGGATGGCACCAGCATTGGGGGTTATGTGTGCTTGCTGGGAGGTGGTGCTGTGAGCTGGCGCAGCAAGAAGCAAAATGAGGTGGGATTGTCTTCATGTGAGACTGAGTACATGGCCTTACACCATGGGGCCAAGGAAGTGGTATGGCTGAGGCGTTTGTTAGAGGAGTTGGGAGTTGGTCAGGAGGAGCCGACAGTTGTGTTCTGTGACAATGAGTCTGCTGTGAAGCTCGCCAAGAATGCTTGTCTGCATGGGCTGACAAAACACATAAGGCCTAAGTGGCACTGGGTGAGGAGACTCCTTGATAAGGAGGTGCGGCTGGAGATAGTGAAGACCCATCAGCAGGCAGCAGATATTTTCACCAAGCGTCTGGCGGAGGCGGATCATTGGAAGGGCATGAAGCTTGCTGGGATGAGTGTGCATTGAGTATGCATGCTTGAGATGTGGTATGGTGGATGATGGTTGGCAGCCAGAGGGGGAGATTGTTGTGTGATGTCATCATATGCTATCACATTCTGTCTGCCTCCCATCCCATGTTTTCAACTTGCATGTGTGGTTTGAATGTGCAAGCATTTGTGTGGTGTGTTCTGGAGTTTGGGAATGTGTTCTGTGTTATTTTTGTTTGAGCAGGTATTTGTGATGATAGATCTTGAGAAGATCTTTCCGACGCAACGAGAATCCCTTCAATCGGAGCAAGAATGCGAAAGCTATGAAGATTCAAAGTTCATGAGCTTGCGTTACAATTGCGGCGGTTACTAAGTGAAGTTGTGGGGTGAATTTATATGGAGTTGGGACCTTTGGGGTTTGGGAAATTTGTCACTCTACTGTAACAGCTGCAAATTGGTTGGGAACAACCAAGCTAGGTTGGCAAGGGTGGCCAACTTGGATGGATTGGTTGGGAAGGGACAAAGGTCAAAGTTGAGGTTCCTATAGGGAGGGAATCTTTGTGCTTATGGGGTTTCCTTGGTTGGGGACTCTCTTGGGACCTTCCCTCTCATCCCTCTCTTCCTATCCCAACCTTTCTCTTGCTCCTTCTAATTCCTTGTGAGATTCTTGAACTTTGATTGAACTCTTGAGATTGAGTTAAGTTCTCCTCCTACAGCTTACCCCCTAGTGCGTCGAAAGCCATAGCGTCGCGAATACTTCATCAATCAACGTGATTCAAATTGGGAACGGTAGCTGAGATCAAGAGCTACAACATATCCAAGTTTCGCGACATTCCAACGGCTAGTGTTTTGTCGACGTCGTTTCTTGTGAAGACGACTTTTCTGTCCAGAATTTCGGATTTATATTTTGAGTAATTCTAGCTCCTAAGTTCACCTAGACTCTGTCCTTAATCCTAACATCGCTTAGCTTCGCTTCGCTTTGCTTAGCTTCGCTTCGCTTCGCTTAGCTTCGCTTTGCTTCGCTTAGCTTTGCTTAGCTTCTCCTAGCTTCGCTTCGCTTGGTTTTGCTTCACTTAGCTTTGCTTCGCTTCACTTCCCTTAGCTTTGGTTCACTTCCCTTAGCTTCGCTTCGCTTTGCTTAGCTTCGCTAAGCTTCGCTTCGCTTCGCATAACTTCGCTTAGCTTCGCTTCGCTTCCCTTAGCTTCGCTTAGCTTTGCTTCGCTTCGCATAGCTGCGCTTAGCTTTGCTTTGCTTCTCTTAGCTTCGCTTCTCTTCGCTTTGCTTCTCTTTGCTTCTCTTTGCTTCGCTTCGCTTACCTTCGCTTAGCTTCGCTTCGATTAGCTTTGCTTCGCTTAGCTTCGCTTAGCTACGCTTCGCTTCGCTTAGCTTCGCTTAGCTTCGCTTCGCTTCGCTAAGCTTTGCTTAGCTTCGCTTCGCTTCGCATAACTTCGCTTAGCTTCACTTCGATTCCCTTAGCTTCGCTTATCTTCAGCTCACTTCGCTTAGCTTCGCTTTGCTTCTCTTAGCTTCGCTTAGCTTCGCTTCGCTTCTCTTCGCTTCTTTTAGTTTCGCTTAGCTTCGTGTTCGCTTCGCTTAGCTTTGCTTCGCTTCGCTTCGATAAGCTTCGTGTTCGCTTCGCTTAGCTTCTCTTCACTTCGCTTCGCTTAGCTTCGCTTAGCTTCATGTTCGCTTCGCTTAGCTTCGCTTCGCTTCGCTTAGCTTCCTGTTCGCTTCGCTTAGCCTTGCTTCGCTTAGCTTCGCTTTGCTTCACTAAGCTTTTCTTCGCTTTGCTTCGCTTGGCTTTGCTTCGCTTCGCTTAGCTACGCTTTGCTTCGCTTAGCTTCGCTTCGCTTCGCTTAGCTTCGCTTCGCTTCGCTTAACTTCGCTTCGCTTCACTTCCCTTAGCTTTGGTTCGCTTAGCTTTGCTTCGCTTTGCAAAGCTTTGCTTAGCTTCGCTTAAATTCGCTTGGCTTCGCTTCGCTTCGCTTAGCTTCCCTTCGCTTTGCTTAGATTCGCTTAGCTTCGCTTCGCTTCGCTTAGCTTCCCTTCGCTTCGCTTAACTTCTCTTCACTTCGCTTCGCTTAGCTTCGCTTCACTTCGCTTAGCTTCGCTTAGCTTCATGTTCGCTTCACTTATCTTCGCTTCCATTAGCTTCGCTTCGCTTCGCTTAGCTTCCTGGTCGCTTAGCTTCACTTTGCTTTGCTAAGCTTTGCTTAGCTTCTCTTAGCTTCGCTTCGCATTGCTTAGCTTCGCCTAGCTTTGCTTAGCTTTGATTCGATTCGCTTTGCTAAGCTTTGCTTCGTTTCACTTTGCGCTTCGCGTCGCTTAGCTTTGCTTAGCTTCGCTTTGCTTCTCTTAGCTTCACTTAGCTTCACTTAGCTTCACTTAGCTTTGCTTCGCTTCGCTTAGTTTCGCTTAGCTTCGCTTAGATTTGCTTATCTTCGCTTCACTTCGCTTAGCTTCGCTTCGCTTCGCTTCTCTTAGCTTCGCTTAGCTTCGCTTTGCCTCTCTTCGCTTCTCTTTGCTTCGCTTCGCTTAGCTTTGCTTCGCTCAGCTTCGCTTCGCTTAGCTTCGCTTTGCCTCTCTTCGCTTCTCTTCGCTTCGCTTCGCATAGCTTCGCTTTGCTTCGCTTAGCTCCGTTTCGCTTAGCTTTGCTTATCTTTCCTTAACTTCGCTTTGCTTCGCTTAGCTTCGCTTAGCTTCGCTTTGCTTAGCTTTGCTTCGCTTTGCTTCGCTTCTCTTAGCTTCGCTTAGATTCGCTTAGCTTCGCTTCGCTTTGCTTGGCTTCGCTTCGCTTGGCTTCGCTTAGCTTCGCTTCTCTTAGCTTCGCTTGGCTTGGCTTCGCTTTGCCTCTCTTCGCTTCTCTTCGCTTCGCTTCGCATAGCTTCGCTTAGCTTCGCTTGGCTTCGCTTAGCTTCGTTTCGCTTCGCTTAGCTTCGCTTCGCTTAGCTTCGCTTCGCTTAGCTTCCGCTTAACTTCGCTTAACTTTGCTTTGCTTCGCTTAGCTTCGCGTTGCTTAGCTTCGCTTCGCTTAGCTTCGCTTTGCTTTGCTTAGCTTCGTTTAGCCTTGCTTGGCTTTGCTTCGCTTCTCTTAGCTTCGCTTAGATTCGCTTCGCTTCGCTTGGCTTCGCTTAGCTTCGCATCTCTTAGCTTCGCTTGGCTTGGGCTTCGCTTTGCCTCTCTTCGCTTCTCTTCGCTTCGCTTCGCATAGCTTCGCTTCGCTTCGCTTCGCTTCGCTTAGCTTCGCTTAGCTTCCCTTGGCTTCGCTTAGCTTCGTTTCGCTTTGCTTAGCTTTGCTTCGCTTACTTCGCTTTGCTTAGCTTCGCTTCACTTCGCTTAGCTTCGCTTTGCTTTGCTTTATCTTCATTTAGCTTTGCTTGGCTTTGCTTCGCTTCTCTTAGCTTCGCTTAGATTCGCTGAGCTTCGCTTCGCTTCGCTTGGCTTCGCTTAGCTTCGCTTCTCTTTAGCTTCGCTTGGCTTGGCTTGGCTTCGCTTAGCTTTGCTTAGCTTCGCTTTGCTTCGCTTAGCTTCGCTTAGATTCGCTTAG